TGTGTCTTTCTTACATTTTCAGAGGTTTAATCCATTGTCATCATGGCAGGAAACATGGCGGCATGCATGCCGGCAGACACTGGAGCAGTAGCTGAGTACTACATCCTGATGTATAGGCAGAAAGAGAGGCTCTTTCTGTGTTTGGCATGGGCTTTTGAAACCTCAGAGTCCAACCTTAGTGATACCCTTTCTTAACAAGGCCACACCTCTTAATCCTCTAAATCTTTTCAAATAGTGCCATTTCCTACTGTATTTCAAATACAGGAGCCTATTGGGTTCACTCTTATTCAAGCCTCCATACATATTAAAAGGTGCAAGATAGTAAAAACAATTTTAAAGACAAGGTCGAATGCATGGAATGTGAGTTTCAGGAGAGAAGAATCTTGGGGTGGGGTGGCTAGGCTCTGGAGCCATTCTCTGGGAAACATTCAGAAGAAGCTGAGGAGAAGTTTTCTTCTGCACAGAAGCTAACCACAGAGAATTGGAAATGCAAGATAAGAGTCTACAATAATTATAAAAATGAGAGTCATGGAGAAGCACTCAATGCTAAGACACTGGCGGGTGCAAATGTTATTTCGGTATCACATGAACAACACAGCTGGGAAGACACTGGTGAGGTGTGGTCCAGGGCAGTGAACGAGTTCACTGGAAGGACACTGAAAGGAAAATGGGGTTCATTCTGCTGGAAAGAGATGTACAGGCTAGTTTGTGGGCAACACTTACTGTCGTAGATTCCTCCATCAGGCACATTGTGACTGATGTAACCGGCATCGTTTACCACTTTTCTCTTGCGGTAGAATACGTAGAGTCAAAATTTTGACCTAGCTCAGGTTTATATACTGATCACCTTCAGCTGTATTACCACTGTCTCAGTGTGATATCAGTCTCTGTGTCATCTCAGCTCACCACGACTGGGTTCACACCACTCTGTCATATCTCTGACGGGGCACGGTTCTGTGGGATGCACACCGTCAGTGGATTGCCTCTCACTCCTTGTCAGATGGCTCAGATGAAAAACCATTGAGGTCAAGGCAGAGAACACTGCTGTACTGTAACGGGAACATAGATTAAGTTAGAAGAGTAAGGCTGAGAGCAGGAAGTGGGAGTGAAAGAGAAGAGGAAAAAGGTTTAGAAATTGAGGAGGCAGAGGGAAGTTCTGGTGCAGCTGGGTAAGTACGCAGATAAACATGACTGCTTATATAAAGGCGCCAGTGAGAGCACCAACCAAAAGAAGAAATGCAGGACGGGGGCAGCTTTGAAAAGAAAGTGCCCAAAGCCTTCTATGCCAGATGAAGCCAGTCCACACTCTGGGGAGAACTCTTAACCAGAACCACAAAGTGTAAGAAATGGCTATGAGAAGAAGAGCGTGATGATGTGGACTCTCCGAGTGGAAGAACAACGTAAACAGATGGAGACTCCTGAAGGAAAGGAGAAAATACTAGATGGGTTCATTTTAAGGGGGAAAGGGGAAAGAGATCCAGAGAGAAGTTTAGAAAGCGTGCATCTTGAGGGATGCAGGTAACAGGGAGAAAAGACATGATGATGTCCAAAAACGAACAGCTCGATCTCAGTGCCAAGGAGCTGCAACAAATAAGGAAAGCAAAGCAAGATGTAAACAACTTGAATGTTTTCCTGTCAATAGATAAGCAGGACCTAACCAAGTTTGATTGGGTAGTATGATATCTCCTGGTGCCTAATGGTAGGGAATGATGGAAAAGAACCCAGTTAGTGAAACTTGGGGAGCAGATGGGAAGTGGGGTCCATGCTCTGGTCCTCTCTTTTGATGGGCACAAGACATTCAAAACATCTGTGGATAAATTTCCCTTTGTAAGATTAAGTAATTAAAAGGGAGCTAAGTCAAAGGAAAGGGTTGTTGAAGAGGGAAAAATGGAAACGCCCTTGGAGTCCCATCTCTACAGTGCTAAGTTTCCTTCTACTTTAAATCACTGTACTTGCAGATATGGGGTCTGTGTTACTTTCCTGGGCACTATGATACAACCCCAATGAAGGCAGCTGGAGGGGAACAGGTCTAACTGTCCGTAATTTGAGGGATACAGTCCGTGCTCTTCAGGAAGGTCTGCATTTAGGAAATGGGAAGAGTCAGGACAGCAGCAGAGAGACTAAGAAGTAAAGGGACAGGAAATGGCGTGGGACTAAAAATCTAAGGGCTCAGTAGGCCATTTCCTCCCATTACACTCCGTGCTAATGGTTCCTCTCTACCCAAGATGGCCTTGCAAGCTGGGGGGCAAGGGGTCATGAGTTCCTAGGAAGCGATTTTAAACTCAAACCTCAACAAGGGTTATCTATTCTCCATTCTAATTTAGCCAGCATGATACCAGTCATTTCACCACTTCAATTTCAAATATGGCCACCTTCTTTCCATTTATTTTTTTCATGACATGTGAGAAAAGGCATGTCTTTCCGTCTCAGATGCGGTAACCTGAGGCCACGTTCTTCCTCTCTATTTGACACTTCTTCACATAGTCTGAAGACTTTTATTCAGCCACTAATTTAAAGCAGAAGTTTCTTTCTTTTTCATGGTTTTAGTCATTGCACCACGCATTCAACTTTCTACCTGTGAATTAAGTTCTACCAGCCAATTAATTTAAAATAATTTGGCCCTGTGTCCTTTCCTTCATCCTCACTGCACCTTGATGACCAGGTCACTTTTGCATCCGTTGTGTCTCTGTGGTTGCTTCGGCTCGGCCTGCCAGCCTTCCTTCTTGCCTCACTGTGCCCTTTTGTGTCCACTTCCAGCCCCTCTTATTTTATTCCTTGAAGCAACTAAGCCACAACAACGCTTCCACATCATGGAATGTAGAAATGTTATGTTTCAAATGCTTTGTTGTTTCTTCCCACCGAGTAAAGAGACCCACCTCCATGACAAGGATGCCACATCTCTTAGCTTTCCGTTGCCTACTCTGACCACTTCCTCTCCGTTTTGTCTTCTCTGTGGACACAATGTTCCCTATTGTTTCTGTCATGTTATGCAGGTTTTCCTTCTTTGTGCCTCACAGCTTAAATTCTAAGAATAAGTTAGAGCCATGTCTTTATTGTTTTTTTTTCTGAACTTTAGTTTGACTCTTTTTTGTACAGTTTAAGAATTATAATATTTACTTGCAGGATATCTGGTGACAGTCACCATCATGAGTACAGAACATCTCCATCGTAGTAACTTGTGATCTTCTATACTGAAAATAAAGAGTAGACACTGAGAAATATTTAATAATTTGATAGTACAGATGCTAAAAATGCATGAAAAATAAATCTACTTGAATTTTTAATTGAAAACACAATGCAGTCTTTCTCCTAAAGCTATACTGAACCTAAGTAGTGTTAAATGCATTAAAATGCAAAATAGTAAAAAACAAAGTATTGTACATGTAGATGCTGGTATTTTCTTTAGTTGATACTTGGTCATGAGAAAATGTGTTGAAAATCATCTTACTTCATCTCTCAAATTTATTAAGTTAATTATATTCTTGCAAACATGGGCTTTTTGCTGAAACCTTAGATTCGAATTAGATTAATTTCCCATGAGAAGAAGCCTGAAGAAAGGTAGTTAAATTTAGTAACTGTAAAGTCTTTGTTAGGCTAGGATCTGTAGAACTGCATCTGTTTGTAAGGTGACGTTTGACCAACTTCTTTGGTTGGTTCTTAAATTATTACTCCATTATTCTGGCTCACTGGAAACATTTCATGTGTTCTACATTACTTCCAGGGTCTGTATACTTAGCCTGAGATGACTTGGTGTGTATCTTTTTGAGGTTTATTTCAGGGCATATCATTCCGAAGTAAACATAAAAAGATGTCACAGTTAAAGAGAAGGTTATTAAGGTAACTATTTAAGGCTTAAGATCAGGACTGGATGTCATGGATTTTACACTGATAAAGTTAGTTTGGGGATCTGTTCATTTCCTATGTCTCTTAAGCATGCTGGAGACTACATGATATATATACAGGATTGGTGATAGCGTCTCTGTCCAGAAGGCTGGAAGAAAAAGGATGCAGAAGAAAATATGTGTCAGGTGGTTCAACAAAGGTCTTGGCCCCTGGTCATCTTAAGTAATTTGATTTTATATTTATTTATTCAAATATTTATTTGGTTGGTTAGTTGGTTGGTTGGTTTTGGTTTCCCAAAACAGGGTTTATCTTTAGCTTTGGAGCCTGTCCTGGAACTCACTCTGTAGACTAGGCTGGCCTTGAACTCACAGAGATTCACCTGCCTCTGCCTTTTAAGTGCTGGGATTAAAGGTGTGCACCAACAGCACCTGGCTGATTTTATTATTAAATGAGTGGTTAAGAAGATGGAGCACCTGGAGACAAACATGATGGGGTAGAGGAGCATTCTGGTGGCTGCGTGAAAAAATATGGACGGCTGTAAGCTAGGAACAGACTGGCTGAAAAATGTCTGGTGATCTGCACTGGCACTGGTGACCTTGGAGTTTGATATGGAGTGGACACGCTGCTGGACAGAATGCAGAGCATGGAGTTCAGTCTTAGTCTGGAGAGTAAAATGATGTCACCATATTCTGAGCTGGGAACGGGAAAATGAGTGGGAACGAGCAGTTCTGTTGCTTACACCGATTTCACCTTTGCCCCCCACCAAGTATTTAATGAAAATAAGAAGGAACTAGTCGGGACTTTTATGTAATTTGATGCAATAAAAGAGGAATAACTGCATACACCAACAAGGAACACTTGATAACTCTCAAGATTGAAAAGGATTTGGATAATCAATAATTTGTTCTAAATGGGTTTTGTACCCATGCCTAACACTCTGAGCAAAATTAAATTTCTTTTGTTGAGATAACTATAATTTATAATATATTTCATAATGAACAGGCATTAGATAAAGTAAGCCAAAAACGTGATTAAGCAAGGAAATGCCCATCTTAACATATAACAAAGAAAGTATAAACAAAAGAAAGTATAAACAAAACCTATAGAATATCTTTATTCTTTAAACTGCAGATTAATAAATGCAATGTTTTTCTCAGATCCTAGATTCATCAGTGCTCATCTCATCCCAGAGAGTGACAACCCTGAAGATGATAAAGTGTATTTTTTCTTCCGAGAAAATGCAATAGATGGAGAACATTCTGGAAAAGCCACTCATGCTAGAATTGGTCAGATATGCAAGGTGAGGTAAAGAAATAAAAAGCATTGTTCATTCACTATTTAATTTCCTTTTATTTTCCATTGATTTAAATGATGTTTAAAATGATATCTAATACCGAATATTTAAATGTTTAAAATGATTGAAAAATGTATTATATACAAATAGGAATATGCTTAGAGATTATGAAATAACTTTTTCACAATTACATTCATTATTTTGTTTCAAAGTCATGGAATACAAAGTATTTTCCTATATGAATAAGAATAATATATTACCTGAAAGAACATACCTTCTACATTTTCAGATTTAGCAGTTTCGTACACTAATATATTTTGAATAGATATTTGATATTGGAATACAGATAAAGCATTGAACCATGAGCCAAAATTGGGATAGTTTATATTTACAAACTGATGATTTCATCAGCACATAGGTTCATATTCAAACACATACAAATGCTGGAATGAGGTGATCTGATATTTATTTTTCTGGAGGATTCGGTGTTTAATATGGTATAATATTGCATAACAGTGTTATAGCAGAAAAAAATCCATGGCGTCTTTCTGATCTCTTTCTTAGCATATTATGATCTGATGATACAATACAACTGATTCCTAAAAAGTTTCCTTTGTGATTTGGAAACATAGAACAATGTGTAGATAAATCAGACATTTTTATGAAAATAAATAAGTTTAAAGTATTTGCTACAGAGTTATTAAAAGCTGTATAATATATACCATATAAACAGAATATAAATGTATTCTCTAATTTTAAGAAAACTGTTACTGCAATATGTGTACATAAAAATTAGTTTTAGCTGGGCAGAGGTGGCACGATACCTTTAATCTCAGCACTTAGGAGGCAGAGGCAGGCAGATCTCTGTGAGTTCAAGGCCAGCCTGGTCTAAAGAACAAGTTCCAGAATAGTCAAAACTACACAGAGAAACCCTGTCTCAAAAAAAAAAAAAAAAGAAAAGAAAAAAAAATAGTTTTAAAGATAGTATCTTCTTTTAAATATATGTCTTTGCAATAGAATTCAGAGTAACATTTACATTAAAATTCAATTTTATTTGCAGTAATAAGGCATTCTGAAAATATTTTCTAGGGAATATTTTCTCAACCGACTGGTTACAGTCTAAAAACTGTCTGACTGTTGTAAGCTGTTGAAGTGTTTGGTTTCAGTAGCGTGGCTTGGTGGATTTATTGTCAGTGAAGACAATGAGCAACACTCCTCATCCATCAGACATATGCCCAGGGAAGGCTGATTTTGTACCCAGTAGCATCCCTGAGTCAGGCTGCAGCGGCGGTGAGATTCAAAGGAAACACTGACTCAGTAGGGAGAACTTGCCTAACCCAAGCAAGCAGTCAATTAATAATTTTTCCATTATTAATAGCATGGTGGAAGAGAAAATTTCCTTTAAATTATTTTAATTGAAAAGTTGCATTCATTTGTAACATACAGAATGTCATTTTAACATTTATAAGTGGATCAATCTAGCAAATTAGTATATGTTTTAAATCATATACTTTTATTCTATGTGGTAACAACGCTTAAAAATCCTTTTTAGCAATTTTTAAGAATATAATATTAAAACTACCTGTAGCAATCATGTTATATAATAGATTTCTTGAACCTCTTATTCCCATTTATTCAAAATTTTCTATCCTTTGGCCAATTTGTGTTCAAATTCCACTGTTCTCCTAGACTCAGTGGGTCACCATTCTATGCACTGCTTTAGAGAGTTCAACATTTTGGGATCATTTTTACTTGGGGTCAGTGATATTTATATTAGCCTATCTGACTGAATTTACCAAGCAAGTACTCCTGGTTTCCTGGTTTAATCATATTAAATGGCTAAATAATATTTCATAGTGTGCATATTTCAAATGAGTTAATCTACTCCCATTAATGGACAAAATGTAACATTTAAGAACTTTTTTTTTTTGAGACAGCATTTCTCTGTAGCGTTAGAGCCTGATTTGGAAGTAGCTCTTGTTAGACCAGGCTGGCCTCGAACTCACAGAGATCCGCCTGCTTCTGCCTCCTGAGTACTAGGATCAAAGGTGTGCACCACCACCCAGCACATTTAAGGACTCTTATGGGCATTCCCTTTACTGAGCTTTGGATCAAAGATTTGAGCAAAAATATAATAAATAGGATAATAGTTTATATTTAGACATTCAGAATGGTTATGACTCCTTTGAAATATAAAGAATGGGCGATTACTTGATTACAAGAAAAGATGTCTTCTTAAAAATAACTTAAACAATCTTGTCTACTTCCCATAATCAGGAGGATAGCTATATGTTTCTCTTTGGGATCACCTTCTTATTTAGCTTCTTTAGGAGATCAAATTATAGACTCACTGACCTTTATTTATCTCTAGAAACCAATTATGAGTGAGTACATCCCATGTTCATCTTTTTGGGTCTGGGTTACCTCACTCAGGATAGTGTGTTCTA